AACAGCATAATATAATCAAATGCTGTCTAACATGTATTAACACGCAATTTTCAGGTACAGCTAGCTCAGTACTATTAAATGGAATAAACAGTCGAAGTCGAGCACACGTTACAATGTGATGACAATCCTGCCAACGTAAATACAGCAGGACTGGCCAGCCCCTGCCATCTAGCTAGCTGTAGTACAGTCACTAACAGTAAGATGGCTTTGATTACTTCGTCTCCGATGCAATCTTCGGTCTTACCTTTTGTTAGTAATGACTATCGTCCATATCCCTACTAAGGCGACACTTTCAGATCAAACGCTCGGTTTAAAAGTAGCTCGAATTAAGTGAATAAACTCGCTAACCTTGTCGCTAGCACAACCGCCGCCAATATTTTCAAAAAAGCTGTCGTCTTCCTCTGTGGCATCTGATAGGTCGAGAGGGGCGCGTCACTAGGCGGGCCGTGGTGACGCACAGTGCACGCTGCGGAAGGTGGAGCTACTCCGTGGTGTGCTACGGTAAGCTACTGCCGCTTTCTGTGCATAAGCACGGTTGTCTGGCTCAACATTTGTGAAACTTGATTAAATGGACCTGACTACACCGTCGGGTCCTTTTCAGTATATTTTATTGACAGTCTCTGTAGGTATGAAGCGCGGTCATCCAACATGGTGGCATAGCAACGGTATCCTCTGCATCGCTTTATTTAGATGTAACATGTCCAGCCTCTGCTGATATCATAGCCTGTATACACGTATTACAGAGCATTAGGGTGGGCTAAACATTCAAAATTTAATAGATAATAGCTTTACAGTCATGGCCACGTCAAACACGTGCATGCCTTTTTGTATCTGCTACATGTTCAGGCGTTTTTAGCTAGGTAGATAGCTAACCTTTACACCAAAATACTGTTTTTGTGTGGGGAGTTGCTACTAAATATCACCATAAACGATGGCACATGTTTGTTTAAGGGAACTGCTAACCTCTAACAACCTACAGATAAGTTAGTACGACCTTCCTACTCCTAGCTTGAAGGATAGCAGCTAACGTTTAGTAAACAGCAAGAAGAGGTAGGTAGGTGTGTGTGTGTGTGTGTGTGTGTGTGTGTGTGTGTGGGGGGGGGGTGGGGGGGGGATTCATGAGAAAAAAGGACCTAATTATTAAACTACACAATAATATCCGCATCAGTCTTTCCCTACAATACAACTCTTATTGTAGTTGTAGGCTATAAAATACAAAATAATCACAGGCATCTGAGGACAGACAGACAATAGTGAGGTGTGTGATAGGAATGACAGATGGGTTCAAGGTAGGGGTGGGATTACATCAGGGATCAACTCTAAGCCCCTTTTTGTTTGCAGTGGTGATGGACAGATTGACAGATGAGGTCAGGCAGTAGTCTCCATGGCCTATGATGTTTGCAGATGACGCTGTGATCTATGGTAAGAGTAGGGAACAGGTGGAAGAGAGCCTGGAGAGGTGGAGGTATGGTCTAGAGAAAAGAGGAATGAAAGTCAGGTGAAGCAAGACAAATTACGTGTGTGAATGAGAGGGAAACAGGTGTAACAGTGAAGCAGCAAGGGACAGAGTTAGTGAAGATAGATGAGTTTCAATACCTGGGTCAGCAAATCAAGGCAATAGAAAGTGCACAAGAGAGGTGAAGAATAGAGTCCCGGCAGGCAAGTGTCAGCAGAGCAAATGGCCTACCACCTACATAAAAAAGGAAAAAACTGTAAATAGAAACTATTGAGATAACTTCATGTCTTATGGCTGAAGCTGAAATGGGGACGTCATTTGCCTGGAGGAGTTTACTCGTGCTAACATCATGTAGTTTAGATGCCTGCTAATGAAGCTCATTGCAATAATAATAATAATAATAATAACAATAATAGGTGTTTTCCTAGGTCCACAAGATAAAAAAGCGCCGTCAATTGACAATAAAAATAAATATTGCTGTGAGATGGAATACAGGTTTTTCACACACATGAATTCACATGTGTCTGAACCACTGCTGTAAAGTATGTATAGACGTGTATAGAATGCTTCACAATATTACTGCAATCATGAACTGAGAATCATGGCCACATCTTTAAATATATTCAAAATGAAGCGTGTTATTGGAAAGGTTTAGTCAGTCAACAGTTTTTGCATCTGCCTTGAATTTAGAACTGTAATGTTTTCCTCTTCCAAGTAACGTAAGATAGCTTTTAATTCATAGTTTTGTATTGTTCCTGTTCCCACCTGTTTGGTCTCAGTGCAGCTGTTAAACTGGATAAACCCCGGAGTATACTATAAGCTTCTCCAGAGCACAGCTTCATGATGATGGAGTGTCAACTTTAAAATTGTACTACACACCAAGTTCCTCTTGATTAGCTTAACCTTCCATCTTTCTTCTCATCATGTAACTTTGCTAATTTACTTCTCCACAGATCATTATAACAATCATGATTTTCCACATGACTGTCCGCTCTTACCCAATGATGCAAAAAACACATCTGGCTGCGCGGAGAGCATGGAGAAGGCTAAGGCCGAGATTGAACTCCTGTTTCGTTGGTGCATCTTCTGGTCCAGGTCACGAGGACAGATCCGAAGACCTGTCTGCTGTTTCAGCTGAAAAGCCTCCTCACACGCCTGTCATGTTGAAAGAGGTGCTTCAATACTTAGACATTCAACCAGCTCAGGTACAATTTTTGGTGTCCTTAATAAAGTTCATGTCTGTTTGTTTAACCATTCTTTTAGAAATATGTCAAATATTCATTCGGACAAAATGAGGGCTTTAGGCGGGCATTCAGGTAGCAGTGGGTTGACTTTTTACTTGTGTTTATTAACATTATTTCCAATTGAACCTTTTTACCTGGTGTATTTCCATATTAAAAAGGCCCTGGAATGTGCTCAGACTGTAGGCAAATCTGACGCAGGACTAAATTGAATCTCCAGACTGACTGCCGACAATATTTGCAAGTGATTAGATCATATTTGTGTTTTCAGGGATTGTTATCCGGTCTGCCTCGGTTGCTGTGGTAATAGCATAGGCATGCAAACTCATACTGAGAGGTGTTTCTCATGTCCCCAAATTTTGATTTTCTTATGTGTGTCAGAGCTTTTGAAAGCAAGTTATTGCCAGGCTGTTGCGTGCATTGTGTCGGCTACTGAGGTTTACAAAAAGGTCTCTTCTCATTGTGATTTGAGGATTGAAATGACCTGTTTCCTGATTAACCATCCTCTTCACAAAGGTGTTTGTTGCTAAGGTAAAATTCTGTTCACACACTACATAACAACTTGTTGTTATAAAGGCATTCATGAGTTGGACAGGGTGGCAGTATCTTGGCTTTCACTTAATGTATGTACTACCAGGACAGATGGGCATGAGTCAAAAGCCTTCTGGCGTGGCAGGCAGGAAAGGAGGCAAAAGTAATGGCCCCCTCCACCCCTCAGATAATGCATGGTCAAGGCAGGTGGGGGCCATGGGTCAACAACTTAGTCAGGAATTGCGCCACTGTAAGTCTGTTGGCAGGACACAGGGTGCTGCATCGCTCCTGCCTGAACTTTAGCACCTCTAAACTCCTCCGCTACCCGCCCATGTGCCAACTGTCCCAAGACAGCTTGCCAATCAGATGCTATTAAAAACAGTTTGATAGATTTTATTTTTTTTGTACAGTATGTGCTGTAGACCTCACTTGGTGTGACGTTCTGTGGAAATGATGTGTGATTACCTTCAGAAGTCTTTCTTTAGTGTTCCTTCACTGCAGATGTTTGTATTCTTTCATGTGAGAACATAGTGTTACAAATGAACTTGGTCTTTATCTACAGCAATGTTACAACCTTATCGTGGTGCTGACTCATAGTCATTCGTATTCATATATCTACAGGGCTAAATATAACTGCATAACTACAAAAATATAACTATAACTTGTCAGGGAATCAAATGTGAATTCTGACATGGCTCTGACAGAGCTGCCATTTAAGTGCTTAAATTTGTAGTGGGCGTGTGGTGTTGTCAGTAACAGATCAGTTGCTTTGAGGAGGAAAACCTGCCCTTAATTGCAGACAAATGTCCAAACGATTAAAGATTAAATGGGCTTTATAAAAATAATCACTAATATGTAATTGCTCTTGTTGGCTGAAGAAGAGTTTGTATGAATGGAGGACTTACACGATGATGGGTGTCAGAGCAAATACTGCAGTTAAACTGAAGTGTGTAAATGGAGGCTTTCAGTGCCCTGCTGCCTCCCACACAGGACGTCTGGCTGTAAATCTGTATGCAGGTATCTAATTTGCAGTGGTAGCCTGCGCTCTATTTTCTCAGTTTTACAAATGGCCATCATGCTTGTTGGGTCTTGATTGATAGTTTGTCATATTTCTTGTCTGAAATTGTATCCTTGCTTAATGAAGAACACTCTATCTCACCATGAATTGCCTTCAAAGCCCCATATGATGGCTTTTCTTCCTTGGTTTAATGCAGGTCTGTGTGAAATAGCTTGCTGGGACAGGACTAAACCTAAGGTGATATTTTCTTTTCTCTGCCTTTTTAACTATTTTGTTATAGGGATATTTAAATTGGTGTGTCAGGCCTCCACTTTGATATAGACTGAAATATCTCAGTAGGTAGATTATTTGTGTACACTAAGGATAAATTAAAATGGCCTTTAACAAATGTTAATTCTGTTATTTGTTTTTTTTTATTTTTTTTTCACCAGAGAAATCTGAAATATGGTATGTGATGTATCTGAGGGATGTGATGGCCAGGGAAAACAAGATTGTTAAGCTGTGGCTATGTAGCCAACGGTTAACGTAAGTTAACATTTTAACTGTTAGGTTAAAGATTTCAGTTGTATTTTTTTTATGTATTTATTTAAAGTTAGGTAGGGTACTCTAGATGGCCTGACAGCAAGCTATAGCGATAGCCTTAGCCTTAGCTATTAGCTCGTATTAGCTTTGGTCAGTTATTTGGTCAATGTTTTAAAGGCCCTACCTAGTTGAATAGATAGAGACCATGACTTTAACTACATATATGGAGCTACCAGTCAGATTTAATAACAGCTGGTTAAAAGGTTTAATGACTTTATCCAAAGTTGACTTTAAAAAGTTTTTATATTCGCACAAGTTCCTTGACTTTATTTATCACTTCCAGTGGCGCCAATCAACATCATTGGCTCAACCCAGCAAAACATTTGAACAATGCCATGCCATGTTAATTTGCATTATGAATGCAGCAAGCTAAGAAAAACCTTTGCACTGAACCATGCACCGTGTGTGCATGGTTCAGTGCAACAAAAAAATGGGACTGTATGTTTCCCGATTTGGCTGTTAACTGGCTCTTTGGGGTGCAGGGCTGGGATATTTGTGTTCAATATTCTTTGAGTGTTTTTGTTTCTCCCATATAATGTTTCTGACGTAATTAGACACGATGGTCAGCTGATATAAAGTACTTTATTTATCCCATATTTGAGTTGATTTGAATTGGAGCCTGCTCATTCCCTTGTTGTATACAGAATTTGTATTTGTGTTTTCTAGTTTAGCCTGTTGTCATGGACGCCCAGGTACTTGTACTCCTCCACCACATCAACATCCTGTCAAATTCACCCACTAGTGCTCTGTACTCCTCCTGCCCTTCACTAATACATCCAACCACTGCAGAATCATCAGAGTGTTTCTGTAGATAACATGACCTGGAGTTGTACTGAAAGTCTGAGGTGTAGGAGACAACACAGTCCCTTATGGAGCTCCTGCACAGCACCAAATCAGACAGAGCACTGTCCAGTGTCACATACCTACCTGTCTGTCAGGCAGTAATCCATGAGATGGTGGACAAGTTCACTTGCTTGCTGACTTTTTCCATTTCCTCCCTGAGAAGCAGCAGCTGGATCATGTTAAATGGATGTGAAAATTCAAAGACAATGATTCTCACAGTGCAGCTGTTAATATCTACGGAAGGGCAGTCTCTCTAGAATATAGATGATTACATCATCCACTCCCAGATTATGTTGATTTGTTAACTTCAGAGGGTCTCCCTGTGGTCTCAGGTGGGCTAAGACTAGTTTCTCCAGCACCTTGATCATCATTGGTGCTCATTAAGTTCTGATGGTTTGGACTACAGGAACCAGACAGGAAATATTTTACAACACTTGTACTTTCCTCTACTTCAGACTCAGGTTGTAAATGTGACTCAGGATCACAGACAACTGCACAGGTCAACTGAACCTAGGTGCTGTTACTATCGGGTTTCGCTCCTTTTCCATTATGTACTTTCTGCAGCTGATGCCTAACCTGCCCAGAAGAAGGGCAAAATCACTGACAGTGGTGGGGGGGATGTGGAGGCCAGTGATTTTCTTCCTTCCACTCGAAACATCCCTCGTGCTTTTCTGCTCAAGTTTAGCCTTCAGCTTCCTCTTGTTCCTCCTACTGCACCCTCCGGAGTACTTACCTCTACTAAGATCTGAAAGTTATAAGAATGCAGTATTGCAACTTTCAGCATGGAGAATTATATTTGTCATGTGCATCTTTACCTTCAAAACGCTTTTCTGTTAGCTTACTGCATATGTTTCTTTTCTGTTGCTTTGTTTTCTGCTGATAAGCTATTGCGCGGGACGTATACCAATCTGATGTTGCCGATGCAGTGGGCGGGGCATAGTCTGTTATCTTCCGACTACAGAGACAGAGAGAGGTAGCGGTGTCACAGGCTAAATTATTTACTTCATTTTTGTACAGTTTTCTTAGTGTTTCCTACTTTAAAGTCACAGATTTGTTTATTTTTTTTTAATGTGTAACTGACTCGACAATTCGGCACTAAGAACACCCCTAACTGCGATTGCGGTATTGTTCCTGAGACGGCGCTGAGTGAGTTTATCATGGGAATTTGCAATCATAGAGATTCTGGCAGCTAAGAGTTGGGAATGAACTGCTCAGATTTTTCATGAGACGCCGATGAGAGCTGGAGTGACTCAACTCCACTGTGTGCAGACAGAGATGGAGTTGTATTTTATTTAATTAAAACAAATGTACTCATTTTTAAACTTTTCTTTGTTACAGTGCTTTCACGTGGTTAAAAAAAGTTTAAAAAGGATGGAGTTGTACACTTGCGCAGGCTATCTGTTTGCGTAGGGGCCCTCCTCTAGAATAGATTAATGAGCCATCAGCTGAGAGTCCAGGAGAAAAACCCTGAGCTGCTGTAGGAGGAGAAACGAGCTGCCTACTCTTAGATGTCAGCCTCAACACACTCCCCCTTGTGGAATTAACGAGGCCATGTTAACCTTGCCTCAATATCAGTCCTTCAGCAATCAATTAAATATTGAGCACCATTTCACAACAAAATAACTCTAAATCGCATAACATTATTCTTTTGTCATCTATAGCAAGGGTCAAATATCAAACTGTATCAAACGTGTTGGGATTTAGGTGGTGGTGGGTTTAGGTTAACACAATTATCATCCTATTGACAGTTTCTGTTCAGCTGTAACATGGCTGTAGTACTAATACTCCTAAAACTTTACAAATCCAAGGCAGCAGCAATAAGTAAAAATAATCAATAAAAAAACTTTGATTAAGTGTCCCAAAGAAGTGCATTAAGCCATTCTGGGTAACTGTAAAGAAGAGCAGAGAGCAGGTGGCCACCGATGTGGTGCTTGCGATCCATAAATAGCGCAGATTAGGCTAGACTCATGACGACAATAGAAATGTAGCA